GCTTGGATCAACCATCAACATTCATGGCAACAGCAGTCAAGAAGTCAAAGGATGTATTGCATTAGGCAAATCTGCACAAGACCTCTTTAGAGTGTTTAAGAGCAAAGATGTCAGTTTGAGGACTAAGGTATTTCCAATAACCTTATATACATGTGAAAGTTGGGGACAGTGAATAATGAAGGCCATAGAAGAACTGATGCATTTGAGTTATGGTGTTGGAGGAGAATACTGAAAGTACCATGGACTGCTAAGAGAACAAACAGATCTGTGTTGGTAAAAGTACAGTCAGACTGCTCCTTGGAGGCCACGATGGCCAGACTTTGTCTCTCATACTTTGGACATATTATCAGGAGGGACCAGTCCCTGGAGGATTATGTTTGGTCAAGTGGAGGGTGGGAGAAAAAGAAGACGACCCCCAATGAGATGGGTTGGCGCAGTGGCAGCAGCAATGGGCTCCACGGTAGCAACTGTAAGGTTGGTGCAGGCCCAGGAATGTTTTGTTTTATTCTGTTGTGCAGAGGGTCACTATGAGTCAGTACTGACTCAATGGTACCTAATAACGACAATTATTGGAAGGATCCAAGATCAGTATGGGAAGTATAGTTGGGCCTCAAGAACTGACAGCGTGTCACCTGTTCTGGATCATTTTCCAGCTGTCACCACGCTGATGTCTTCTGATGGCACATGACCATCCTAACAGCCATTCCGATGGCTACAGTGTGCTGTCCCAGTTCTGTCACAGCTTCGCTGTGCTGTCTGGAAGCATGGATCAGAGCCCTTATCCAAACCCTCATTGTACAAAAGAACTCCACACACAGCCTTACAGGGATTTTTATTGTGTAAGACCCAGTCATGCATAATAAAATTACATGTTTTCACCATTCCGACTTAAAAAATACACTAGAAAAATAAACTTTGGTCAAAATAAACACTGAAGTAAACAAGTCCCTCACTGTGCGTCCCCTCCCCTCAAAACCAAACCATTTCAGTTTGGAGCACAGACTGCCACCAGAGGTTGAAATGGTGACCCACCACTCACCCCATCAAAGTGGGATCAGAGGCTCTTGGCCACTGGAGTTTCCATATTTTACTTGTAGCAAACTCCTATGTGATACACCGAGAAGCCGAGGCCTGTCCACAAGAACCACACAGCATCGGAATTACTGCCTGACTAAATACGCAGCCCAGCCACGTGAGTCTGTGTTGTTTGGAAGCTAAATGAAAAACCGTAAACCCCCCACTATCACTCCCCTCCACCAGTCACATGGATTTCCACCTAGCAAAGCTATCAAGGAGGAATAACTGACAATCAGTTTGAACCAAAATCTAGTAATAGTTTGCTTAACACTTCAAGCAACCTTTTTCTGAACCAGGAGATGAAAGAGTTAAGCTTTAGGTTTTCAGAATTAACCAACTGAGGGGTGTCACCACAGATGTCGTGCCTCAATTTACGACTTGTTTCTGTTTGGGGTGTTCACTCCTCTCACGGCCACAGGACAGCCACCCCTGCACATTAGCTAAGCGGACATTTTTACTCTAAGAAAAAGAAGTTTCAAAGGGAACCCTTAAAAGCTGGTTTAAACTGAGCTACTATAACATCACAACAGTACTATAGATTTTGTTAACCCCAATCAATAAGTAATCCCATGAGTAATCTGGGAATGAGACAGCATTTGAAGACACTGCTTACCTCACAGAAAAGTCTGAAAGGCTATCACAGGGACTTGTGTGAAGCACCTCTGCCTTGGTTCTCCTTATGGCAACAACTTAGCATCTTCTAACTTGAGATGTTTTCTGAAAATGTCTGTCCTCTCCACATGAAGGTAGACTCGGAGTCCAGGAAGAGGCACACTTTTCTAGAATTCTGTGTAATGGTGTAGGGGAAGAGGAGGAAGAAAAGGCCTTTACCACTGAAGTTTACAGATTCATTTGGGAGCTTTGGGTGGCAGTCCATTCGGATCTCGATTTTCTATTATATGCAATGCAGACTGGGAGAGCGACAACACTCGCTGTGGTAGTCAAGCTGGCACCAGGGTAGCTGAGCTCAGACTGTCAACCCCATCATCAGAATGATTCAGGACGTAAGTGGCTCTCCCAAGGCCACACAACCAGCAAAAGAAAAGGTGGACCTCTGCTCTCCTAATTTACAAACTCCTCTTCCCAATGCCACAGTGCCTTGAGTTAAGAAAAATTCATTTACAGTCTTACTCTGGATGTTCACTGTTGGCTTGGGTCTCCCACAACTGGATCCAGCCCTCACCAATTCATCCATCATTCAACACCCCCTTGGGGACAACTGTCTACAAACACCATGTGCCGACTGCCTTGATTTTCACCCAGGGAGGCCTGCTTCAAACCTAAGGAGCTGAAAAGGTTTGATCTCTCTTTGGAGTCAAAACAAGCACAGCACACTTCAGCTCTGGAAACTTGGTTACCTTGGAAACGACAGAGACAAAACTTCCTGTTCCTCAGGTTGGGCTTGACCATCCCTTTCAAGACAGAATTATTTTCTGCTTCGAATACTTTGTGGAAACCATATGTTTTCAGTAATAGAAGGCGTTACTGTTTTGAGGTAATATGGATTTTGATGCAACAACAACAACAACAACAACAAGAGGATATGGGTCCTGAGTGGTCTCTGGAGCTGGGATTAGTAGAATGAGGTCCCTTCATTCCGATTCATGCAGTTATATAGCCCTCCCCAGCCCCAGATGGCAGCGTGCACTTTAAGTGGAATAGGAGCTTCCCATTAAACCACAAAGCTAAAAAATAGAGGTGGGCACTATATGTCCCATGGGCCACAAAAGGGCTAATTCAGACACAGGCAATTTGCCAGGAACACAACACTAAAATTTAAACATAAGAAACTTGGAGTGGGGGTGGGGAGGTACGTGATTCATTTCTCTCTTTTTTCTTTAAATTTCTCTCCCCTCTTGGAACCTAAGAAAGCCAATTCTCCTATACAGACTACTTCTGAACCTTCTACCTTAGTCCCCCCCGCCCCACTTAGGCCTTCCCAGCAGTGCTACCACATGACCAACATCAGATGGCACGATTAGTCAGGGTGTGCATTTTGGCACTTGAAGTTTAGCCAGGTCCCTGGAGGATCCAGTGTTAGGATCTCTAGAGTTGGCACTAATGAGGGAAGCAAATTAATTTCCACCATCACCGTTGCCATGGAATTTAAAAAAGGGCTACAAAAATGACTGGCTTAGTGATCACAGACTGGTCTTCGAATTTCATAGTAGTATTGGTGCTGTGGGCTAATGCGCTGGACTGCAAAGTCGGTTTGAACCCCAAGGTTGGTGATTCAAGCTCACCAGCCACTCCTCAGAAACCCTTTATGGTGTCCAATTCAATGCATTTAACAACAAGGATTCTCTTCCTAACTGAACTGATCCCCTTGCCTGGTGGGTCTAATAAATGCAAGTAGAAGGTACACATCACACAGTACTCTTCACTACATTAACACCATAACACACATGGAATGAATATGAAGATAGGTCAAAGCCATCAGATGAACCACCTAGTTGGATGTATGGGCTAAGGCTAAATTCTTAACAGGAAGGGTCTTAAAGTGCTAAAAAGAGCTAACATTCAGGCTTACTGCACTGAACCACAGAGAAACCAAGGTGGATTTGGCAGAGAAGGGAACCCAGAAGTGGCCCAACAATAACCTGCCCTCATGTTCATTTCCAGACCAAAATGTAAGAATCCCAAGGAATGTAATCTTTCGCCACTGCCAGGGTAACAATATGGCATCTGAGTGTCAGGGATGGAAAGACTCCGTATAGGATCCAAGTCCTTTTACCTGCCCCCTTAATCCTCACAAAAGTCATTCTTTTAAAGTGTAGCTATCACTATACAAGGGAAGTTGGTATCACAGTCCCAGGCATTTGCCTATTTAAGAGCAGGGTCAAATGGTGACACATCCCTCTTGGAATGACAGAGAACACAGGGTCAAGCCCCTTGTGTCTAGAGTTACCTTCTAGACAGGAAACAAGGGTGATGTTATTCAATAATTAGACCACATCCCAGAATCTCAGCAGTCAAAAGGGCCTCAGACAGCATTTCAATCTGCTCCATTTTACAGATGGGAAAGCTGAGGCCCATGTCTTCTCCAGGACCACACATCTGGGTCTCAATTCCTAGGCCAGAATTCTTTCAGCTACATTGTCCCAAAACGCAGTATTTTAGGTTGAATAAAATCTTATTCTTCCCAGAACCTACATGGTCCTAATCGAAAACCAGGGCTAAGGCTTTATGGGTTTGGGGAAACTTCAGTTTCTATTGCAAAACTCAACCTGTGAGAAAAAACAAAAACAAAAAAAACTCAACCCATGAGTCCCACAGCTGCTCTGGAGTCTCTGGTTCCTGAATTTGATTAAGGGATGTTGCTCATGTCTTGAAGCTTGTGTGAAGGCAAAGGAGCCTGGGCCTCCCACTGAGGTTTCCTGATGAGCAACAGAGGTCTACAGTCAGGGTTCATGTGAGAGACACACAAACTCCTAACTCTCTCGTGTGGCCCCCTTGCCGTAGGACAAAGATCCAGCAAGCTGCTCCTGTAAAGATTCCAGCCTAGAAAGCCCTCGGTGACAGTTCAGCTCAGTCACCAGGGGTCAGAGTCAACTCTGGCACGCACATCCAGTGCCCCCATCTCACAGGGAGAAGGGCAGGCTGCCTCGTGGACACGTGGTTCTCTCCTGCCACCTGGGATCAGAGAGACTTTGGTCCTGCTTTTTCTTGCTTCGAGATTCATGAAAATCAGATACAGCTTCCAGATTAATGGTCATACACTTTGGAATCAATGGTGACATTTTCCAAGTCAGTAATTCAAGTAACCAAGGACTCCCCCCAAGACTTGTCCCCAGAGCTCCGCCACAGGTGTTTCTCCCAGGCTGCAGGTAATTACCAGGAGCAAGGTGGAATCCACAGCACCTCTCTGAAGGAAAGTGAAGGCCCTGTGTGGCACACAGGGGACAGAGGCCTCTGGCACTCTGCTAGTAGCAGGAGTATAGCTGTGACTTCACAGCCCGCACGGAGTCGTCACACTGTGCATCAGAGACCAGCCCCTGGGGTAGCAGGGTTCCACCTGGGATGCTGCCGCAGGTGGGGACCGGCTGGCAGAACTCTCTCACAAAGTCCTCCTCGGAGGCCAGCAGTGCCTCATTCCAGGCGGTGATGTCCAGCTCTCCGGCTGTGCCCCCATACTCCTTGGGGAGAATGCTTCTTGGAAGACTCGTGTGGAGCGAGTTCAGGTCAGACCCATGGAGGAAGAACTAAGTCGGGGAATGGAATGAAAACACACAGAGCCTTTGGTTAGTCAGCAGGACAGTGATCAAGTGACATGTGCAAATGAGTATCTGCTGCCTGAATAAAGGAACTGTTAGTGGCTGTTCAGCCCAAACAGTTGCTGCTGCTGTGTGCTGAGTGGATTCGGGCTGGCCGCCGAGGCCTGTAGGACAGAGGAGAGCCGCCTCATAAGGCTCCAGGCTGTAATCCTGACAGCAGCAGCGGAGCTACTGGTGGGATTGAAGCCAAGTGCTTCCCCATTGTGCCCCCAAACCCACTTGTCCAGTTTATCTGCACTCGCAGTGACCTTACAGGACAGAGCAGAACTGCCCACGGGGTTTCCAAAGCTGGCTTGCCAGCTCTGTGTCCCACAGAGCAGCTGGTGGGTCCAAATTTCTGTCCTTTCTGTAACCACTGCGCCACCAATGCTCCCTTAAAAAGCTTTATAAAGTCATTTTATTTATAGCCTACACTGTGCTGGCTGGCCCTCTGAAATAGATCCAGAATCCCACCACTTCCCTACCACCCCAATCCACACCGCCACAGCCTCTCACCAGATTACCAGATTGCCAGAGGTGCCTCCTCCCTGGAGTCCCAGCTCTCACTCTGATCCCACCACAATCTTTGACAACGGAAGTCCTCTGTCTACAACCCTCTGGTGCTCCCATCTCACACAGAAGGAAAAGCCAGGTGTGTGCATGCCCACAAGTCTCTCCCCAATCTGGCCCCCCGTTCCATCTCTTCCTACAGCTCTCTCTCTGCTCTAGTTGTTCCTCCAACATGGGGTGCACGTTCCCCCTCAGGCTACTTGTATGGCTTGCTCCCTCAACCCTTTCAGATCTTGGCTCAAATGCCAACTTCCCAATGATAGCACCTCTCCCACCCGATTGAACACTGAAAGCCCTTTCTTACCTCCGGTGCTCACTGTCCCTTTCCCTGCTTTATTTTTCTCCATAAAACAACATTTTAAGAAGTCCTAGTGCCCAACAGCTAGGTGCTTGGCTGCTAACCACAAGGTAGGTGGTTAGAACCCAGCCAGCTGCTCTTCAGGAGAGAGAAGTTGTGGTCTTCCATAAAGATGACAGCCTAGAAATCTCCAGGGGGCAGGTTTACACTGTCACATAGGGTCACTCACTGAGTACAAATCAATTGGATGTCACTTAGGAGTCCTGGGGAGTCTTGGTGTGGCACTGTGGGTTAATGCGTGCACTGCAAGGTTGCTTTGCACTGCAAGGTCGGTGGTGGTTCAAGCTCACCAGCCGCTCCTCAGAAACCCTATACAGGGCTTCTAGGAGTCAATATAGACTCAACAGCACTTAACAACAACAACAAGGAGTCCTGTGGGATAATGCACTGGACCGCAAGGTCAGTGGTTCAGATTCACCAGCTGCTTCTCAGAAACTTTATATATGGTCACTATGAGTCAGGACCAACTGGAGGGCACTAAACAACAATCAGTAACCTTGGGGAATGTGGTAGCTCTATAGGATAAAGCCTGGACTACAAACTACAAGGTCAGCAGTTCAAGTCCACCAGCTGCTCCTCGGGAGAAAGGCTTTCTGCTCCGTCAAAAATGTACGGCCTTGGAAACCTAATACAGAATTACTGTTGGCCAGAACCAACTCAATGGCACTTAATGACAACAACAAATCAACCACCTTCCTAGGTAATACTATCATCCAATATCTGTCTCTCTCTAGAAGGCAAGCTTCCCAGGACCAAGGATTCTGATCTGTTTTGTTCATCTAGAACAGGGGTGGGGTATGTCTGGCCCACAGACCAGATATTGTCGAGGCCCCCAAAATCATTTGGTCTGACCCTATCATAGCAACTGCAGTTCCAATCATCACATTGGTGGTGGTGGTGGTGTGCCGTGGAGTGGGTTCTGACTCAGAGGTACTGAGGCTATACATCTTTACAGGAGCAGAAAGCCTCATCTTTCTCCCGTGGAACAATTGACGTTGAGGTTAGTAGCCCGACTCGTAACTACTTCACAATCTGAGCTCCTTAGCCATTACACTGTTGTTGCTGCTAAGTGCTGTTGAGTCGGTTCTGACCCAAAGCAACCTTGTATAGGGTTTTAGAGGAGCAGCTGATGAGCTTGAACCACCGACCTTGCAGTTCAAACAGCTTTGCAGTCTAGGGCATTAACCCAAAGTGCCACACCAGGCTAATTTTTAAGTTGAGAATTTTGTATGGCCCATAAATGATGTTAAAAATTTGGGCAGAAGAAAGATTCCCCACTCCTGCCCTACAAGAAGACTGCAGAGAGTGGTTGATCAGTAAATATGTATGGACAAGTGAAGGAAAAAACAAATAAACCAGTGAGCAACATCACAGGCCACACACAAGGGCGTTCCACAGATGGGAAAGCCAGGTCCAAAGGCTGCTTTGAGAAAAGCAAGTTCTAAACAGGATCCCCAGAAACTAACAGTAACTGGGGTGTCAGCCGAGGCAGCGAGGCCAGGAAATCAGTGGTTCTTGAGCTGAGCTGTGCTTCAAAATCACCTAGGGAGGTTTTAAAAACACAGGTTCCTAAAACTCAAACTTATAAAAAAGACCAGGCTCACTGGTCAGAAGGAAACCCGAGAAACCTGAGACTATGGCCCTTGTTCACCCCTCAGGTCTGGAACTGAACTCACCCTCGTGGCTCAGTTTTCAGCCAGGCAATAGATAGGGGGGACAACAATACAGAGGGGGCAACATCCCTAGTAAGGTACGCATACCATGGAATAGTCCATCATTCAAGATGGAAAGGGCGGGCGGCACTTACCTAAGGACAAAATTCAGAAGGGTTAGGCAAGGTGGTAGAACGGAAATAAGAGTCACAGAGGAAGTGGGGGAACTGATGCTACATGGAGGGGATTGCATGGAATGAAATGAAATACATGATTTTGTTGAATGTAAAACTGATGATCTGCTGTGTAAACCTTCACTCAATTCACAATAAAAGTTAAACAACAGCAACAAATAAGTACAGGTTTCTGGGCCCCACTCAAAGTTGGTGACAGAATCCTCAGCAGGGCCTGGGCTCTGGATTTTTGACAAGCCACCTGGAGATGTCACACTGAGGTCTGAGAACAATGGGCAATCAGACCCTGGTCTTCAGGGTGACCAGAGTCCTCTTTGGCCTAAAGAAGAGCGAGATAAATACCACTCAGCATATTTTGATCCGCTGTGCTGGGAAAGGTTAAGAGAGAACTGGCTGTTTGAGATCAGAGAGGAAGGCAGTCCTTTAAAGTGCCATCAATCGCAAGTAGGAGACAGTGACTATAAACTCCCAGGTGCTACATAAGAAATCATCACAACTTTTTAAAAACTCTGCCCGATACCTAAGGAACCATGATGGAAGTGTAGGATAAGCACTGGACTGTAGTCAGTAGTTCAAACCCATAAGCCCCTCCTCAGGAGAAAGATGAGGCTTTTACAGCTTCGGGAACCCCGCAGGGTCACTGTGAGTCACTCAATTCGCTGGCAGTGGGTTTGGTTTGGTTTGGGCCCAACGTCTACCTTCCCCATATCACCTTTTTTGCCCTGTTGGTTCATGAGGCCCAAGCCAGGATACTAAAGAGTCAAACAGCAGTTGCTTAGCCAATTAATAAACCCAGAGTCAAAATTATCAACTAAATCCAAAGTTGTTACAGAGAAATCACAGGAGCCAAACGACAACACCCCAGCTTAAAGTATCAAAGTATCTGTGGTCAACAGGGCCGCCACTCACTCTGTTGGCTATTTTCTCCTTCAGAAACGGTTTTATTATGGCAAAGATGCCTTTAAATATTCGAGGCTCATTGACTCCATGGACTGCTTTTATCCGAATGGGGAAGCCATCCTGTGGGGAAAGGGAAAGGGCTGTTAGACCACTTGGAGCATCTGCAAACTGGTTGTTTCATTCCACAGCCTGGCTCCCCCATTTATGTCTTCATTGTAGGCCCCGGACAAGGACACTTGATAACACAGTGGTCAGAGCACCCGACTGCTAACCAAAAGGTCAGTGGTTTGAACCCACCAACTGCCCCCCCGAGAGAAAGATGTGGCAGTCTGCTTCCAGAAAGACGGGCAGCCTTGGAAACCCTATGGGGGAATGTCCTACTACATAATGTCCTACTACAAGGTCATTATGAGTCAGACTTGACTCTTGGGCAAAGGACATGCTACCCTGGTTCTCGTGGTCTCCCCAAAGACAGCCCATGGGGGGCCAAGTAGGAAGCCACATCTCAGGGATGGAGTCTCTCAAGACCCAGAGATGGTTTAGAAAAGTTAAGCAAACCTACACTCCTTTTGTGGCAAAATGAGTCTGTGTAGATGGATCTGGTGAATATCCGACCTTCTGGACCAGAGCTGCCTGAAGCATTCCAGGCCTATCTCTCAGGGTGTTACTAGGTGCAGTGCCGATGGGCTCCGTGCTAGGGTAATGAGTCTAGGAAACCCTACACTAGATAGAGTCAAATGACTTCCCTCCACTGCAGGGCTGTGCAAAAACCTTTCCTGTGCAAATTATTTTCTAAGAAATTCGTAAGAAAAAGACGCACCATGCCATCTTTCCAAAATTCACTGAATCCTTAGTTAATTCCAACCCTTTAACTCCCAGATCATCTTATCATTTCACAAGACTGGGAAGACCAATCCAAGCTCATGATCCTGAAGCTACAGTCTATGTGGACCTCAGCAGGGGGACCAAGCAAGGGGGAAGCCGGAGTCCAGACAGACTCTCATGACTGTGACACAGATGTGCTTCGATAATGAGCTTGGTGTGTGGTGTGGAACTCAATGAAGGACTCAAGCAGCCCGTGGTGCTCAGGGTTAACAAGAGCCAGTGCCCAGAGGGTGGGTCTGATTGAACAAGGAATCACAGCCAGGCTCCTGACCCTTGCAGCTGTGTGCTTACAGAGTTACACAGACAAATCCTCTGTGGGGCTCAGTTTCCCCACCTACAAAGAAGAAACAGCATCTCAGTGATGCCTTGAAGGACTGAATGGATTATCGTAGCACTTGTAGACCACTGGGCACTGTGTGGACGTGTCAGGAACTTTTGTTTGGATGAGAGGATATTAGGGCTCCAGCTGACTTGTGTTCGGAAACAGCACACGAGGTGTGAAGGCACCCAGCCAAAACCCAGTTCCCAGCAGAGCTCCAGGTCCCCGGATACCATGCCCGACACAGAGGTGCCACCCTGGGGCAGCACAATCTCAGTATCTCCTTTATTAGATAGGGACAATTCCTCCGCCTTCTGGATCAGAAAGTACAGAAAGCATTCCCCTGCTTTTTGGACTCCTGCCCTAATGTCAACCTCGGAAACAGCTAGAGATCTTGGGGAGGATGAGAAGGAAATAGAATTTCTTAAAGCTCTTTCCAGAAGGCTTTTGTATTATAGGAGTAGAAGGTGGGGTTTGTGTGTCCCCTAACCTCTGCGGTGAATGGGGAGGGCCCTGAGAAAGCCACCATCACCCTGGAATGGACACAATGGCAGACAAGAACCATACCTGGAGGATGCCAATCACCTTCCTGGCTATGAAAGGGCCAAAATGAGATGCCTTTGATAAGCTCACTCCTTTGTAGTCAGCAAGGATTACAATTCCATTCACCTGGGTCTCTTCAGACTGAATGAGCTTTTCTAAGGTCAAGTATATGGCTCGGATGTTCTCGGTAATTGGGTAACTGCTCGGGGTCCATCTGTCTGCAGTCATAAGATAGACGAACAGTGTGTTACAGAAAGGAATACAAACAAAGAATCCAAAATGCATCTCCTTTCTAAAACGGTTGTTTAAATTGGAAAAGAGAGATCCAACAGGCACGATTCTCCTTCAGTTAGTAAACAGGACCCTTAGGCACCAGCTGTGCAGAGTCATGATGAGTCAGAACCAACGCAAAGGCACCTAACAACAACAAAGTGTATAACTTCAAGCACATTAACACATTCGGAAACAGAAATGCATCTAGGTGTTAAAGTCTGAACTCTGAAGGCAGACATACCTGGATTTGAATCCTACTAGCTGTGTGACCTGGGAAAACTGGTGGCTCTGTAAGATAAGCACTGGACTACTAGCCACAAGGTTGGCCGTTGGAGCCCACAAACCATTCCGAGGGAAAAAGATGAGGCTTTCTGCTGCCAGAAGAGTTACAGCCTCAGAGACCTTATATAGGGATGGTGTGCATCGGGACCAACTCGATGGCACATCATAAAAAGCTGTGTGGCCGCAGGCAAATTAGTTGCCCATTCTGAACTTTCATCTCCTCCTAAGTAGGAAGGGTTACTATTACCTACTTTAGCTGTCATCAGATGTTGCTGTTGTCAGGTGCCATCAAGTTGGCTCCGTCTTGACCTTGTATAGGGTTTCTGAGGAAAAGCTGGTGGGTGTGAATTACAGACTTGTGGTTCAAACCAACCTTGCAGTCCAGTGTTTATTCTATGGTGATTGTTGTTGTTGTTAAATGCCTGAGTCAGTTCTGAGTCATAGCCACTCTGTAATTGGCTTCTGAGCAGCAGATGGTAGGTCTGAACTGCTGACCTTATGGTTTGCAGTCCAGTGCTGATACTACAGCACTTTATTTTCATAAGACCACCCTGATTTTCCTTAGGAGTCACCTGCCCCCCCCCCACCCCACACTAGAGTCATGCAATTTGGGTAGAACTGACATGACTCCCAGCTTGGCCATCCTAGTGGGTTGTCTCTTCCTGGCCAGGCCAAGCAGACACGTGAGATTCAATGCTGGGACTTTGGTCCTTTGGAAAGAGAAACCTTTCTTCACAGCTGTAGCGCTGAAGCTGTAAGCATCAGATACAGGAGCTCCAGAAAGCAAGGCTGGCCTGGGAACGAAGCTCGGGACAAAGACAGCAGAGCTGGGGATATGTTTCCAGTGTAGCAGTCAGCCCCTGGGCCCAGCTGTTGGCAGACTTCTTAGTCACCTGAGCAAATGAGCTCTCGTTTGTTCCAGTGCATCCGCATTGGCTTTCTGTTGCTTGACACCCAAAGACTGAGTCCTAACTCATATACCACCTTCTGGGGCTGTTGGGAAGATGGAGCCTAATGCTTATGTTCAGGAGTCCTCTTTTGACGATGGAAGTTTCTTTAATTGATCCCTCTATTCTCCTCATATAGCTAAAGATTCTTCTCTTTTGACTGCTAACCACCATTCTCAAGAAAAGCTCACCAAAATCTGTTCATGTCCATCTTTTATAATGATGGAACGCCATAAGATATTACAGATTCCATCAGTGGAGTCTATAATATGTGCAAAAATTCCTAGGGAAAAAAAAATCTTGGTCCAAAACTTGTGCCAACCTGCTGTTTCACACTGCTGCTGATTGAATCCAGTTCTACACACTGGGCACCACCCCTTCTAATTACATAGGTTCTGGAAAAGGTTATAAGGAGGCGAAACCAATGCCCAGTTGAGAATAAGGCACGCCATGTATGACTCCTCATCAAAAACCTGGTGGTTGGGGAGGGGCCCAGCTCTGCTACAGGCATCTGGAACAAATTCATTTCATAACTAAAGTGTAGCTACCACACAAGCAAAGAGTTGAATCAATACGTTAAGATCTGATTACTTTGTAAGATTCTTCTGAGTTATGTATAGAAGAGCAGCATTGAAGTCTACTGACTAGTTTCTAGACTTGGGCTATCCTCAGTGTGTTGCTTATTTTAAAAGGGCCCCCACTCCCCCCTGCCCTGTGGCCTCAGTGCAAAGTGCCTGCAACAGCGCAGGTAACAAAGTTAATTAACCCTGGACTAAGAAGATAGCTTCATCTCCAAAGAGGGTGGGATAGATGACTACAGGCAACAGTGACAGGGGCTTAACAACAGGGGAGGTGCACAGAGATGGCCTCTTCCCCTCAGACTGCTCCTCCAGAGCAGTGGTCTGTGTGCCTGAGCATAGGAGGGCTACCAGCATGTCCTCATTTTCCCGGCTTAGTCGGGAAGAACTTGGCCATCTTGCTTTCACATTTCTTCTCAGCTCCTATATTGCAGCTGGGGTAGAGTTGGACGCCTTCCTGAGTGTTTAATGCATTTGGTGTCATGGAAGAGAAGAGGGTCAAGCCCTAGTCACTGGGTCAACCAATACATGCACCCCCATATTTCTACCTGTGCTGCGAGGGAAGAGGGAGAGGTAGGGAGCAGCCTCAGTGCAGAATGCCATGCCAGAGAAAAGGACTCCGGATTACTAAAATGGACAAGTGAAGCTAAAGTGGGACCTTTCAGTGACTAACAAACTGGAGGAAACAAAGGGAAGGCTAGAGGTGGCACACACAGCAGATACCTTTGTGGGCATCTGTCTAACCCACAGCCCTTTTACCAAGATCTATGCCCCAACCTGTGCTCACAGAGGTGGTCCAGGGGGTTTTGGCAGCCATGCTTGTACCTATGACCAGGGAGGGATTCTTTAGCCCACTGGATTCTCTCCTAGAATTCAGAACTTGGGTTGAGGGGAGTTGGTTGGCTGGCCAGGTAAACTTGGGATCCAAGGGGGGCAGATTTAATCATGTGCCCAGAAGCAGCAAAAGCCAGTATGCAGAGAGATAGGTGTGAAGATGTAGGCAGGGCAGCAGGAATGTGTGGTCTAAAGGCACCCACAGATGGACAGTCAGAGGCTCAACCATCTTTGCTCCTGATGACATTCCAGTTGTTGGCTGCAGAGCCCTGGGAGATCTGCTGTACTTCCGGTGAGATTCCTGTCTCCTTAGACTGTTGTTGCTACGTGCCTTTGAGTCAGTTCTGACTCTCAGCAACCCTATATATGGTTTCCAAGGAGTGGCTGATGATTTGAACTGCCGACCTGTGGGTTTGAGTAGGGTTTTGTCATTCAAAATCAAAAAAGTCTCTACTAAAATGGGGGGAGGGGTGCAGACAGAAGGGAATAGGAATGAGACAGGATGCTGAACAGACATTCTGATATGGATTGATTTCTGTTCTCCATAAGTTGAAGCCCTAACCCCTGTACCTGTGATGTGACCTTTTTTGGAAAGAAGGTCTTTGCAAATATACTTAATTGTGTTAATGTAAGGAAGGAGAGTAGAGAGGGAGGGCCCTAATCCAGTATGTCTGGTGACCTCAAAAGAGAAGAGTCCCATAGGGAGGAAGGCCACTGACAACAGGGGCAGAAACTGGAGTGATGCATCTGTCAGCCTAGGATTGTGGGAGACCACTGGAAGCGAGGAGAGAGGCATGGATCAGACTCTTCCCTCAGAGCCCTCCACAGAGAACCAACCTTGCACACACCTCAGACATCTGGCTTCCAGAACTGTGTGAAAATACAATTTTGTTGTTTGGCACCTTTCAGGTTGGGGTGCTTTGTGAGGGCAGCCCTCGCAGATGAACACACACTCGGGCCATGGTCTCAGGAAATACCTGGGCGGATGCAGAGGATCTGGCAGCCCCTGGGGTCAGTGTGGGGCAGCACGGTGAGGAACCCAGAAGCCAGGGCATCTTTCAAGGCCGATGGCTTCAGGTCAGTGAAGACCTCGGGCCAGCTCCTCCTACAGCTGTGGTAGTTGACCAGCAGCTGCAGGGCGCGGTCGTAATCAAACTTGCGGGCTCGCAGGAAGCGCAGCAGGAAGGCGTCATCCAGTGAGGTGCTCAGGTTTGGGTACTCCTTCCGCACCATGTCCCGGAGGGCCTGGACGTCCCGGAGTCTCCATTCCGGCTTCTCCTGCAGTTCCTCCCTGGCTTTGGTGACCAGCTCTTCAGTCAGCGAGCACACGTAGCCAGGAGGCTCCAGGGGTGGCGGCAGCTCATTTTCAGAAAGCGAGGCTACAGAAGGGCTGGTTCTCAGAGAGTCACTTCCTTCGGACATGAGCTACTAGGAGCCTGTCAACACAGAAGCCCCAAGTGAAGTTAATAACGCCCAGTACGGCTCAGACACAGAAGGACTTTTTGTCAAGTCCCGTTAGCTCAGAGCAGTGTGGGTCTTAGCCTGGGGGATGACCTGAACCAGAACCATACACCTAGGTCCAACCTCAGAATGACGGAGGTTACAATCTCCATTAGAAGCCACCGGGGCAGTTATAGCAGAAAAACTTCTTCATTAAAAGCTATTGTCTTGCTTAGGAGAACAAACAAGATG